GCAGCATGTACCATAATCAGGGGAGAAAGTAAAACTTGTGCATGCCTATTTCCATCTGTTTCAATCCATGTCCAACTGTACATGCTTCTGCATCCTGCTGACACATGCTGAGTTTTGGGTTGGCATATTACTGACTAGGAACCGTATTAGGAGTAGTTTGCAGTGACATACCAAAAACAGAATGCAGCATGCAGAAATATGGTGTGTGTACATACTGGTGTGTCAGCGGAGTGCAGCTCAGCAAGAATGAAATGAGGGCATCAGACACAGCTGGAAAACCACAGAATGGAGACTGCAGCGAAGAAATCAAAAGGAGATTGAACCTTGAAAAGCAGCTATGAAAGAACAGGAAAGATCCTTAAGAGTAAGGATACGTCTCTGGAGACTAAGGCCAGTGTCATCCATACTGTAATGTCCCCAATTACTATGAACAGATGGTAAAAGCTGGACAATGAAAAGAACCTGACAAGGAAAGTATCAATGCATTTGAAATGTATTGAAAGGTTCCGTAGGCATTATGGACCTTCAGAAGGACAAATGAAGCAATCAGATGTGCATATAACTCACTATATCATTTGCTTTTGGTCCAGTTTGGATTGCTCTATTTTCTTGTGACCACATATGTTTTAAGTAAGAGTGACCCACCCCACCCCTTTTTTGAGCTGTTCTGCTCCTTTCTGGCACAGTGCCCCCACTCACCCACCACCCACGCATGGAGCACGTTCCCCCCCAGCCGGTCCGCGGCCCCGAAAAGGTTGGGGACCACTGTTCTAAGTGATGCAGTGCTGTTGCATATATAAGGGACTAGCCATGCTAGGCTGATGTACCAACGCAGCACTATGCCACATTAAATTAAACCAAAAAAGGGAAATTGCTGTGACCCACAGAATGGCAGCTATGACAAAAAGCAGAGAAAGGGGTGGAGGAAGAGCTAAAGTAATTGAAAGGAAGAGATATTGGAGTGATCTACAGTGTTGTCTGTATATTTCTCATTGGAGAAGAAACGTCTCCCATGTGAATGGAAGGATCACCCAAATCTGAAGATATCTGCCTTTTAAATGTGACCTGAATCACTCCAAATTTCCCCATCTAGTAGTGCCCCAAATGGGTTCCAGTATGAATGAAGTCTAAACTTCCAACTGGAGGCTAAAATTACTACATTTATTTATTTATTTACAAGAGTTTTTAGCTGTGCCATTACCAATGGTCTTTGAGCAGCGTACAGTAATATTGAAACTTTAGAACCACATTAAAAACCTTAAAATAATACCCAATATTATAATAATACCCAATATTAAAACAGTCAATTTATCATTAATAAATCCTGCTGCTCATTTGGCCAGCTAAAGGATACTATACTGCAGGCTAAACAGAAAGGTCTTTGCCTGGCACTGAAAAGCCAAAAGTGTCAGAGCCAGGCAGATCTCTATAGGAAGGGTGTTCCAAAGTTGTGGGGCAACAGCCAAGAAGGCCCTATTTCAACATGCCATACCCCTCACCTCTTTCAGGGATGGCACCTTCAGAAGGGCCTTCTGGCCTGATCTTAAAGTACTGTATAGGCAGGTTAGTATGGAAGAAGGCAGTACTTTAGGTAACCAGGTCCTAAGCTGTTTACAGCTTTTTATATCAGAGTAAGCACTTTGAATTGGGCCCAAGCAGCAACTGGCAGCCAGTGTAAATTTTTCAGAACCAGTGATATGAGTCCGCGTGGTGGCACCACTTACCAGACACGCAGCCCAGTTCTGTACCAGTTGCAGTTGCTAGACCGTCTTCAAAGGCTGCCCCACATATAGCACATTGAAATAGTCTAGTCTGGTTGTTACCAATGCATGTGTGACTGTTGCCAGGCTCTGCTCATCCAGAGTTGATATATTCTCCACAGCTGTAAGAAGGCACCCCCGGACACTGAGTCCACCTGGGCTTCCAAGGTCAGACCGGGGTCAAGGAGTACCCCCAAGCTGCAGACCCTAGCCTTTAGGGGTAGTGCAGAGGAGTACCCCCAAGCTGCAGACCCTAGCCCTTAGGGGGAGTGCAGCCCTGTCTAGGGCAGGGAAATAGCCCTTTATCCCCTGTCTAGGGCAGGGAAATGGCCCTTTATGTGGAGGAGCACCTACCAGCAGCACTTCCCACTTGTCTGGATTGAGCCTGTTTATTGACCCCCATCCAGTCCATTATTGATTCCAGGCATGAGTTCAAAACGTTGACTGCCACACCTGGATTGGTAGAGAATGAGAGGCAGAGCTAGGTGTCATCAGCATAGTGCTGACTCCTCAGCTAAAACCTCCTAATGACCTACCCCAGTGGTTTCATATAGATATTGAATAGCATGGAGCCCTAAGGAACCCCATGATGCAACCACCATAGATCAGAGCTACTGTCCCCTAGCACCACCTTCTGGACCCAATCAGCCAGGTAGGAGCAGAACCACTGTAAACCACTGTAAAGCCTCCCATTCCCATCCCAGCCAGTCTGTCCAGAAGTACCCCATGGTCAATGGTGTCGAAAGTCGCTGAGAGGTCCAGGAGAATCAACAGGGACACATTCCTCCTGTCTCTCTCCCAGCAAAGGTTGTCAAACAGCAACCAAGGCAGTCTCCGTCCCATAACCCAGCCTGATACCCGATTGAAATGGATCTAGATACAATCCGTTTCATCCAGGAGAGCCTGGAGCTGCTCGGCCACCACACGTTCCAACACCTTGCCCAGAAAAGGGAGGTTCACCACTGGTTGATAGTTAATCACTAGATCTGGATCCAGATTAGGCTTTTTAGGAGTGGGCAAATCACTGCCTCTTTTAACAGGGCGGGGACAACTCCCTCTCTTAACAAGGAGTTAATGGCCGCCAGCATCCAGGTATCAATCCCCCTGGCAGATTTCTTTATTAGCCATGATGGGCAACGGTCAAGTTGCTTAGTGGTGGTACGAACTGATCCAAGCACCCTGCCCACATCTTTGGGTCATAACAACTGAAACTCATCCAATAAATTATGACATAAGTCCGGAGCACTGGACACAACTATAGGCTCAGCATCAACAGTGGAGTCCAACCCTTCGCGAATCTGAGTGATTTTTCCCTCGAAGTCTGTAACAAATTCATTACAGCGAGCCACTGAGCAGTCTGGGACCTCCACCGAACCATTGGGCTGAAGAAGGTCCTGGACCACTCGAAATAGCTCTGCTGGACGACACTCTGAGGAAGCGAGATGACTGGAGAAATGCTGTCATTTTGCCAGCCGTATCGCCACAGCCTGATAATGGGCTCTAAGCTGTGTTTGGTCATAGCGGCAGTGATATTTCCTCCATCTGCGCTCAAGACATCTTAGCCTCTTCATAGCCAGAAGCTCCTCTGTATACCATGGAGCCATATAGGCTTTGCGGGCAGGGAGAGGGTGCCTAGGTGCGATCGTGTCAATCGCCCAGGCCATCTCCTTATACCACAAAGTGACCTGGGCTTTGACAGGATCGCTGGCCTTATCAGCTGGAAACTCCCCCCTAGAGCATTCAGGAATCCTTCAGGATCCATAAGTCTCTGGGGGTGGGTCATTTTAACTGATCCCCCTTCCCTGCAGAGGGCAGCAGCGGCAGAGAGTCTAAACTTTACCAGGAAATGGTCCAACCATGACAGCGGGGTCAAAGATAAAATGACCATATTGTACTTTGAGCATATAATTTTTTTAAAAGGTCATTACAATGACTTTTTTAAAAAAAATAGTAGGTAGTATGAAAAGCGAAACGTATTATTTATTTATATAATTTATATCCTCCTTTCTCCCAGCAGAAGGACCTAAGGCAGCTCAACAACGCTGAAACACAAGTATTAAAAGGATAGGAAATGGATTAATTTAACAATAAACAAGCAAGAGAGCGAGCAAGCAAGCCACATAATTTAGTCTGCAAGATCTGGACAGGGCTGCTAATAATAGGGTCTCTTGGGAACAACTAAATCAGTATTGACTTGATATCCTGTGACACACATTTTTCACAATCCAGGTCTGATTTTGGTAGACCTGCAAGCCAGGCTACCAGATCTATTAGAAAGAGTATCCATATGAGCCAGAACTAAACCCAGAAAAGTGAGGCCAACAGCTGCAGCTGGAAAGGCATTTTTACAAACCAATTAAAGTCATGAATGTCATGTTAGTTTATGCAAAAAGCAGCTGAGACCAATGCGAAAAGAAAGATGAACAGTCCAGGCTCCTCTACAACCCTCAACCCCAGGGCAGCCATTTCTTTTTCGCCTGTGGACTCCTGCTCTATTATAAAGGAAATCGTTAAAAACCAGGGGGGCCTCTTAGGAATTCCTTCTTATTCAGTGTTCAAGGCGTTCTTAGGGATAGGGATGTCAAAAAGGAGTACTTTTTAAAACCTCAGTGTCTGTTCATCCGTTCCTTCCCTTTTATATTTTTTTTTAAGTTTTAATTTTATTTATTTGACCTGGCGTTCCCGGGGCCTCTTAAGTCCCGTTTTAGTGCTGCTAAATTTCATGTTCGGAAGATTTTCCTCCCGCGCTCTGTGGGCTCCTCAATGTAGGTGCAAATATGCACCACGAAGCTTCAAAGCACGTGTGCATCCACACAGATGAGGGGGAACGCACGCGTGTATCGTTACACGACGCACGCGCTGCTTAGAATTCCGGTCCCTCTGAACGTCGGGATTCTCCTTTTCAGCCAAAAGGCAGGGACGGAGGCAAAGCCTCGCGAGTCACGATAGCGAGGAAGGGGGCAAACGGCGCCTTCCAGCAGCTTCGGGAAGAGGACCAGGTTGTCTTGTGCGCGGGGGCGAGGGGTGCCACAGCACACGGCGCCAACAGCATGCAAGCGAATGGCCTGAGAACCGTTGTCTCTCATCTACGATTCATGCCTCATAGCATAACTGTGCGTGGACCACACGCTGGCATCCAACCGCACGCGAAAATCGCGGACACCTTGCTTGCTTTCTATGGGCAGTTCTCACTCCAGGCTTGCGGGGGCGGGGGTGTTGGAGCTGGAGACCGAGCTCTAACGGAGCCCGGAAATTACGCCCTCCCGAGACTCTCTACAAATTACTCGGTCTATGAATGTGCCCGGTCCCTCTGGGCTGCGCAACTTCCGTCCGGCGGACCTAAGCCGACTCTACAGTGTCTTCAGCGGAGGGGAGTTCTGCTGCTGCCGCCGCCGCCGCCGGAACAAGGGCGCCTAAGTTTCCAGCCACGAACTTCGGACTCAAGGAGAAACGCGCCCCCCCCCGTCTCTGAAAGGGTCTCAACGTCGAAGGCGGGCTAGACGCCGCTGATTGGCTGCGCGCCCTGCCCTGCCCGTTGATTGGCCCGTAGTGGTTTCCGTTGGGCGTTGAGGGGAAGAGGCTGAACTGGCGGAATGGCGGCGGCCGTGCGGAGCGTACCGTGGGTGATGGGGCTGGCGGGGCGAGCGGTTGTTCGTTGCCCGGGACCTCCGTGGCGGTAAGAAGGGAAAGGCGAGGGGCTGATTCCCCTCCCCGCGGCGGCGACCGAGTATGGCTTGGAAAAGGAAGGGAAGCAACTTCTCCGCCTCGCCCAACTTGGTTGGGCCCCAGCATGTGGGAGGCCCGGGTGCTTGTTCGCCTGGTGGCGGGTAGCCCGTGAAGCCCGGGCTCTGGGCGGGGGAAGTCGCTGGCGGGCCGCGAACTCGTGCCCTTTCCGGAGCCTCTGTGCTTTTTTTACAACGAGTCACATTTTTGGGGGGCGCGAGGCTCGACTGTGGAGAAGTCAACGGGTTCCCCTGGATCCAGAGGTGCAACTCGGAGTCGTTTTGCTGGCACCCGAGGAGAGTTTGGTGATTTTCTCCATGTTCTCCTTTCATCTGCCCGGTGTCGTTTCCCAGCTGAAGGGAAACACGATCGTTAGTTAGCCTGGTCCCTTCCCCCTGCAGGAAGCATTCATTGAATTGCGCCTGCTTTATGTTTGTAAAGGAGTAAGTCTGGGTCCAGGCTATGTTGCTAGTGTTCTACTGCGTTAGAAAATCGAGGAGCAGAAAAGAGAATAAAATAGGAAATCTATTGTTTCCCTATTTTCTGTTGTTTTGAACTTTGGGGAATGAATTTAGTAGGACCTAAAAGCATGTGTACTGTATTTGGCATAAGCCTTTGTGGACTGCAGTTGCACTAGAGTAGGCCCACTGAATCTGTGGGGATTAGGCCTCTATAAATTCCATTGATTAGTGGAACATACTATGGAAAGCAACAGGATTTCAGTCAGTATAGACCCTACTGGGAGAATGTCCGCTTTTGCTGCAAGAGACTAAGGTGGCTCACCCCCTTCAAAATTGTAGTCACCCAATTGGCAAGGCAGTCCAGTACATGTCATTTCAAAACTAGTGAGTTAAACAAGAGTAACTCTTAAGTAGGTGAATGTGAGATTGCAGTTTAGAAATCCTGGTTTAGATTATATAGTATATATATTTGACATCTTGTTCAGTAAAAACAGTAATATTTATAACTGAGGCTCCACAGCTCCTTTAAGGGTTTTCAGATGAGGCATGATAGATTAGCCAGATTCCTCTTGTCATGCCCATTCAAGATGATATCAGCTGTAGATTTTATCACCTGTTAGAAGTTTCCTGTTGTAATGCTGGAGGCATTCAAGAGAAAATTGGACAACCATCTATCAGATCTGCTCTGACTTGGATTTCTGCATTGAGCAGGGGCTTGGACTCGATGGCCGTATAAGACCCTTCAAGCACTATAATTGATTGATTGATTGATTGATATTATGATTTATACCCCGCCTATCTGGACTACTCTATTCTATGAGTCTGTGATAAACCCACCCAATCAATTCTGAGGCTCCCTTAGGATCTCTTTTAACATGAAGAGGCTTTTGGGGAGCCTTCAGACAGGGGTGGGGCAGATGGTATTATTTCCACATTTCAGAAACGTATCTGTTAATAACATTGTGAAGGTGAAAATTGAGTTAATCAAGAATCACCAGAGAGTTTATGTAGCTATTGTAAAATTTTTCTGATAATTATGTACAGAACAGAATGATTGCAACTATAAATACATAATCAGAAGTTTTGATGAGCATTAATAGAGCAGCCTAATAATTCTCATTCATGGTGAAAGTAAATATGCTGTTCAGACTATGAAGAACTTACTGATAGAATCTATTATGCATACTAGAAAACAAGGCTAAATCCAGTGTTTGAACAAATTATCTGAAATAAATGAGATTTAAGTTAGTTGTGACTAATAAATCTCATTCCTCTGATTAGGCCTGTGCAAGGTAGGACCACTGTTGGATTTAGTCTACAGAATCCCAGTTAAGTTACTTCTTAAGAAAAGAAATGGCCTTCCATCAGAACTGGTTTCTGCTCAATAGTGTGCATGATCTGCTTCATGATTATCAATACTTGGTTTACAAAGGTTTGACTAACTGTTAGAAGTTAGTTTGTGTAACTTGTAACCTACCTATAATTAACTATCTACAGTAATGCTAAAGCTATTTGTATTGAACTATATCTTATAGTGGCTTGTCATGAGATCTTTTACTACCTTTATGTAACGTACTGTAGACTAGCAGGATGTCTTGCTTGATCTCTGATGAACATGATTTTGTTTCAGGACTTCTCAGCTGCTTTGCACAATGACACAAAAGAAAAACACTGGACCAAACTTGGAAGAGGAAGCAAATCCAAACAATACAGAACAAAAGCCTGACTCTGATTCTGCTACAAAGATACTCATGGAAGAAAAGACCAAACTGGAACAACAGTTAAATGAACTTACCGTAAGGGCCCTTTTGGTCTGTCTGTTTAAACTGATCAGTGCAAGGATTGGCAAATTACGGCTTTCCAGATATTGGACTACAACTCCATTCAGACTTAACCAGTATAGCCAGTGGTGAAAGGTGATGGGAGTTACAGTCCAGCAACATATATGGGTCCACAGGTTATCTAACCCTGATTTAGTGAATGTGTGTACATTTAAATTGATTTTGGTAATTAATTCAGGAATCAGGATATAAATGTACAAGCAATATAAGGCTATAGAGACCTGTATCGATGGTTGTCCCAGGTAGACCCATTGAATCAAGGGGATTTCCATTCATTTTGATTCCTTATTTAACAGCTAATTCTGTGAGCCTACTTTCGTTGGAACTAGCAGTTAGATTTAGGCCAAAGTAATGTATAAATCAGTTGAAACCAATGTTCCCTCTAAGATGCACAGGTGTGCAAATCGCCATCAGTAGCTGGGGTTGATGCCTATTTACTCTTGGGTTTTGGATGAAACCTCATCCCGCATGCAGGCAGGTGAGGCTCCTACAGAGTGCAGATGAAAATTAGAGGGAACATTGTTTGAAATCACTCTTAACTCCATAAGCCATTCCCCCCCCCCCATTGTAGTAAACTGAAGTTAGAAAAATATAGTTTGTTTTTTTTTACTGCAGGTTTGTCCAATTAAAACTATCTGGCTGCAGAGCCAGAGGTTGGGAGTTTGATTCCTCACTGTCTGTCCCTGACAGGGGGTGGACTTCATGATCCATAGGGTTCCTTCAGTGCTACAGTTCTAAGATTCTAATTCTTTCCTAGATTTTGATTTTTTGTGTCTCATATAAAACAGAGGTTGGGAGTTTTATTCCTCACTGTCTGTCCCTGACAGGGAGTGGACTTCATGATCCATAGGGTTCCTTCAGTGCTACAGTTCTAAGATTCTAATTCTTTCCTAGATTTTGATTTTTTGTGTCTCATATAAAAAGGGCAATTTTATCTTCATTTGCAAAAGGGGCTGGGTGGGCTGTTTGCATTTTGTGTTCATGCTGCAGGTTGTAGGATTTAACAGAATGCCATGTTGGTGAAAATTGTGTGTTTGTCTTACATTTAGTTTCTATATTTGATCAATGTCCCCTAGTTTTATGTGTCACAATATTCCCGAAGTTCCATTAAAAACAATGTACTTCAAAGTTAATTGGCTTCATTGGGATAGTAGCGGAGAGCTCTTTTGAAATTAGGATAGATACAGGATTGTACCTCACCCTCCTGGACTTTTAACATGTGGCAAATGATTTTATAACAAAGACTTCCCTCCCTAGGACAAGTATAAACGTGCTCTGGCAGATGCAGAAAATCTACGGCAAAGAACTCAGAAACTGGTGGAAGAAACAAAGTTATACGGTGGGTATGGGCTCTGTCATATGATGCTAGAACTGAGGCACCCTAATAAACTTAATAATGGAAACTAAAGCTTGGAAATTCAGAAATGACACAGCCACATTTTAAAACTGTTACACTGCTTTAAAAGCGCCTGATACACATGAGCAGTCCAAAGTACTCCTTTCAGCTGATCAGTTGCATCAGTAGGTATAAACAGAAAAGGAAAGGCCACATACAAAGGAGGACTGATCCTTCATCTTAAATTTAAGAAAACAAATTTAAGAGGTAAAGACCTTTGCATCCCTGAGCAACAAACTGTTTCCATCAAATATTCCATTCCTATACAAAGTTTAATGTAAAGGAGATCTATGCCATCTTTAGCATCTGGTCATTTTAAAAGTAATTAAAATGAACACACTTAAATTTATAGAGGTGGTAATCCCATCTTACAAGTTATGGTTAAGAGTGAACCTAGAAACATTTAATGTAGAACATAATGAGTTGAAACCAATCATTTTTAATCCTACTGAAATCAATGGTACTTAAGTTAGTCATCACTAAGTGTTGAAGTGAAAGCATGACATATGACACCAACCCATTCTCATTCACTTCAGTTAGTTATGGCTTCATCAGAAAATAATCAGTCCCACAAAAATTGTTAATACAGTAATAGCTGGTATCCTTTTGTGTAGCCTCGTCTTCACAGTGGGAGCAATATCACCAGCAGTGGCAGCTTGCCCCTAATTAGAGTTCCCTTTTTAGTTTTGGAGTTGTAAAGAAATCAGTGGGCTCATTGCAATGCCTCCCATCCTACTTATAGTGAAAATGGCCTGCTCCAGCCTGTGGTGGTGCCTGGAAGTGATGAAGAACCTGAGCACTGCACAGATAGGCTATTGCTAGTGACAGCAGAAGTTGTAGGAGCCAAGATCCATAAAGGGAGAGACACTGAGGGAATGGAACAGTTAGAAAGGGTGAAGAAAGCAGGCATGAAAGAAGAACAGAGGCTTGGAGGAAGTTAGTAAGGAGACAGGAGCTCAGAGGGGGAAGAGTTGAAAGTGGCAGAGAAGGCAGTAAGAAGCAGGGGAAGAAATTTTAAATGATAGGCCAAGGGACACCTGGGCAGAGGGGTGAGCTGAGCAGCAGTTGAGAGGATAAGAGGGAGAACAGGAGGGGTGAGTGAATGTAGGGGAAGTGGGGACTCTGGAGAGAGAATACTGCTGTTGGAGGAGGACCCACCTAGCCCCATTGGTAATCATCTTGAGGTTTCAGGTTATCCTCTTCCCCTCAGGCAGGGATCTTTTGAGTCTTCCTCAGGAAGGTATGAAGAACTCTTGGGGTTTCTATGTCCTCCCCCCCAGGACCTCTCTGGGGGCAGAAATCTGAACCCCTCATGCACATCTTGCCAAGGGTCTGCTTTTTCTTACCTGCACATCAGGAAGGATCCTGTTGGGGCCAGGGCTTACCTGCCCAAAGGTCCAGGCTCCACATTAGCTTGGTGCACCCAAGTTCAGTTACCTAGAAACTACTGTATCTCAGTAATTTGCTCTGCCTTGTGACATTGGAAGGTTGTACCACATGTGAATAACCACTGGCAAGTGACTAGTAACTGCACACGTTTTTTCACCCTTTGGGGAAGATTGTACAACGAGTTTCACAACTGGAAACCCCATCAAAGAGTAGAAACAATTGCTTCCACATTAAGTGGGTGCATACATGGGTATTTCAGTAGGATTCTGCCCTTGATGTTTATCTGTCTATATTTACTTCTAACATTGGAAGACATTTGTAGATTGAATTTTTGTCAGTTATGTCAGTGCACCTTTAAGGAATATTTGAAATTTTACTGTGATTTCCCATTTTAGGAATTCAGAGTTTCTGCAAGGACTTACTGGAAGTTGCTGATGTTCTGGAGAAGGCAACTGAATCTGTTCCAAAAGAGGAACTCAATGATGAAAATCCTCATCTGAAAAACCTTTATGAAGGTCTTGCCATGACAGAAGCTCAAATACAGAAAGTTTTCAAAAAACATGGCTTGATCAAACTGAATCCTCTTGGAGCTAAATTTGATCCCTATGAACATGAAGCTTTGTTCCATGTTCCTGCAGAAGGAAAAGAGCCTGGCACTGTTGCTTTAGTAACTAAAGTTGGCTATAAATTGCATGGTCGCACTTTAAGGCCTGCATTGGTAGGTGTTGTGAAAGAGCCTTAGTAGTCTGATCTAAAAGAATCAAAGTAATATACAACTGTTAGATACCTGAGTTATGCTGCGCCAAATATAGTTATGTGGGAGGCTAACTAAATGATGGATGCAGCAGCAAAGCGAATGAATGTTAAAAACATGTTTTTTTAAATGAATGCAGATAAAGTGGAGAGATTGCAAAGTAAGTAGTATATATTATGAGCAAAAGTCCTGTGTAACTTGTGATTACTATTATAAATCACATCAAAGACACCCTACATTGTAATGTATTTTTATCAAAACACTATAAATTGTTATCCAGAATGAAAACCTTTGAACTTTCAGGATCATGTTACATTTCTCAACAGCTGTGTTTTTTGCTTGTTTATAAATACAGGGTGGAGAACATTAGCACAGCATCTATTTAGTTGCTTTGTTCCTAGAGAAGGCACTCTGCAACACTGAAACAAGTACTGAGTGTAAGCATTGTGGATATTTTCCATAATTAGCTTATTAAATAACTACACAATTTTGAAATGCAAATACAATACATTCTGAGATAATTTCAAAGGAATTAGATGCATTAAGCACCTATTTGCAGATATCCAGATCATATAGTAAAGACACCACAAACATGATTCACCTTCCTTAAAAATTTGTATATGTGCTTTTACCCAAGTCTTCTGGTAGAAGAGGAGTGGGAAGGCTAGGATCTGTATCCCTCAAATGCAAAACAACGCAATTTCCCTCTGCAATGTATTCTTAGTACATGGGGAACTTAGTAGACAGAATGCATTTGTACTTTTCTGCAAATGACCAGAAGAAATTTTTAACTACATTTGTGGAGGACGAGATGGTTGAACAGTGTCACCAAAACTATCAACATGAATTTGACCCAACTCCAGGAGGCAGTGGAAGAGAGGAAGCCTGGCATGCTCTGGTCCATGGGGGTCACGAAGAATTGGTCACGACTAAACAACAACTAGTTAACGCTGTAGTACTGTTAATAAGCCACACCTCAGTTCAACTGTTGCTTATAAAAGAATTTATTTTCATTATCTGCCTTGACTTTTCAATGGGTGATCATTTGAGTTGTATCTGAGCCCAGTCAAACCTCCTGCACGGTTAGGCTCTGCATTTCAACACAAAGTAGCAGGCTTTTGAAAATACTACGTTGCAGCTCTACTTAAACTGATCCCGTGCAGCCATGAGGTGTTTACCTTCTGTAATGATGCAGCAGTAGATAGTGCAGTAACATTCATGTTCACAGAACTGCAGACTTAACTGTTGGATGGGGCAGGAAGCCAGTGTTGCATTTCTATATAAGAAAAAAGCTTATTTTAGTTGGCACCCGGCACCTGTAGCCAAAAAATCCATGTTATGTGAGGAGTTTGAACATACACACAAAACCCAGCATATTCTCTGCATCCACTGTGAAGAGAGTGGGTGTGGCTTCCAAGGGGTTGTGAAATTGATGGTCTCTGCTCATTAGGTTCTGTGCATGCTGGTTTTCAAAAAAGCTACCACTGTCACAACTCCTTGTAGTTTCCAAGGAGCTGGCAAGTCCCACCTGCTCTTCCTCTCCAATGACTGCAGAGAATATGCTGAGCCTCAGGTGTGTATACTGAAACTCCTCTGAGGACTTAGCTATTTTTGGCGACAAGTGCCAGAATTCTGCTGGGGGGATTCCTAGTGATTGATGGTAGCTGTAGTGGGAAGAAAAATTTGGAAATCCCTCCTCCACAGTTGAGTCAAGTAGGTCACTGTGGTGTGTGTTCTTATCAAAACGAATCCCAAGCATCCCAAAGTATAACAATTGTGTGTTCACATTACTGTTAACCTCCAGCTGCATTCACTTCCTATTCTTTACAAGAATTGGCTTCTCTAAAATAACACTATATACTCTACATAGCACTACATCTTTTTAAAAAATACTAAAGAAGCTCTAGTACACCTATAATATTAACAAGCAAATGTTTAACTCAGAAATGCTTGGGAAGAAAGTTGTCCTGTAAAGTTACTATGGAGATTACTTATCGTACATCTAAGTCAGGGGTCCCCAACCTTTTTCATCCTGTGGACCGGCTGGGGAAGGTGAACAGCAGCACAACGCTTGTGTGGGCGTGTGCTCTCGTGCGCATATGCAGATGGCAGCACAGCACTTGTGGTGCTCACACAGGCGTGCTGGAGCACACACGGGTGCGCAAATCAGTTGTGCGGGGGTGAGTCCATGTGGTGTTGGGGCAGGAGGTCTGTTTCCGCGGCCCGGTCTGGCTCAGGCCACAGACCAGAGGTTGGGGACCTCTGATCTAAGTGATGCAGATGCATTATACTTGGACAGGAAGATTTCTAAGCAAAATCCTAGAAGCTGGATTAGGGGGGGAAAGAATGGCATCATCCAGCTTTAGCTATCATAATGGCCTTTTCTGCCTGCCCAACTGGGTAACATGTTTTTCTCCTAGCCAAAGCTCAATGAAACATGAAGTGCTAGCACCTCAATGTTTCTATTTATATTTCTAGTTCAAATGGAATTTTTTTCTTATTACAGAAATATTTCTCAGTATTTAGTAAAATACCACTTTTCAATGTGTCCTTCTTGCTGTGTGAGTATAAAGTTATCTACATAAAGTTCCCACCATTACAACTTTTTTAACTTTAGAGAAAGTCTGTTGCTCAGTCCAACAGACAATCCCTGTGCCTATGTATTCAGAAAAAAAGCATTCACCATGTGCATCCAGTTTGAATTAACTTACTAGATGTCCTATGTATATGGAATGCCCACTGAAATGATAGCTCTTACTGGTTATAGTTGCAGTGAAACAGGAGCCTATTTGTAAACACTGCATATACAACTTATGGTAGACAGAATCCTACTAATTAAAATTTTACTATACTTTTGGTGTATAGTAAAACTAAATGCCAGTGTGGTGTAATGGATAGAGTAGCAGACTAGGAATCCGGAGCCCAGGGTTTGAATCCCCACTTGGCCGTGGAAGCTCACTGGGGGAATGGAACTGGTAAGACCACTCCTTAAATACCTCATATTGAAAGCCCTATTAGGGTCAGTATAAGTCAGTTTTTTACTTGATGGCACATAGCAAAGTTGAACAGAAGCCTCAGGAACAGCAATGCTATCTAGAAACTGTTATGTTACAGCATGTCCTTGAACATTTAGATTTGATGTTGAAAATACAATTAGCATGTAACTCTCAGATATGTTGGCAAAATTAAAGGATTTTGATTTACAAAAGCTCACATTGAAACAAATTTGTTCATCTTTAAAGTGCTACAATATTCTATTTATTTATTTAATTAATTTATATGCCGCCCACACTACCCAGAGGTCTCTGGGCGGCTTACAACAATTAAAATTCAATACAGTAAAAGATAAAATAATTAAAATACAATTAAAATTGCCATCGGACCCACAGCTAATATTATTTTGCCTTCTCTCTTCCTCCCTTCCTTGAATTTTGCCAACATGCTACAAGAGACCAACACTACATGCCTTTTGAGAAAATGTGGCTAGTATCTAATGCACACAAATATTAGAATAATTATATGCCATCAAATTGATTCCGACTTATAGCAATCCTTTCCAGGATTTTTTTTATGTAGAGAGTACACAAATGTGGTTTCCCATTCCCTCCTAGGGCTGCTCTGGCACTCTGCAACTTGCCCAAGGCCACACAGGCTAGCTCTTCTAGGAGGTGCAGTGAGGAATCGAGCCACTGGCTCTGCAGCCAGATACCTAACTGGCAGAGCTATTGAGCCAGCTCACAAATATCGCAGGACTGGTCAAATTAGAAGAATGTGACCACAGACCTCAAATAAAATGAGGATCTCCTCTCCTACACACACTTGCCGTAACAGTAATTTGTGGGTAACTAGTGGGTAACAGTAATTTGATACAACATGAACAATATATTTAATGCCTTTCCTCACGCAGGAAATGAATGAAATCTCAGCACTGCTAAAATGTGTGCATTTCATATTGCTGAAAGTTAAACAGTTCTGCGTTCTCTGCCTACCTCCTATTTCTGGTAGATTTTAGTTGCTAGCTCAAATAATTCTACAATTTACTTCTAAAGAACGTTAATGAATATTTGTACTATTGAAGAAAGTACTCACTTTTTGTGAGGATGCTTTGCAGGAATGCTAGCTTCCACGTGAAAGAGCAAAGCAAAAAGTGTGCTGCTTATATACTGCCCCATAGTGCTTTAAGCACTCTGGGTAGTTTACAAGTTAATTATGCAGGCTACACATTGCCCCCCCCCCAGCAAGCTGTGTACTCATTTTACCGACCCCGGAAGGATAGAAGGCTGAGTCAACCTTGAGCCGGCTGCCTGGGACTGAACCCTGGGCTGTGAGCACAGTTTTGGCTGCAGTACAGCAGTTTAACCACTGCGCCACGAGGCTCAAATGAAAGAACTCACTGTAAAAGCACATATGTAATAAACACCACACAACTAAAAATTGTTCACCATATCAATAAGTTATATTTAGCACCAGTTATTCTTCTTAGGTAACAGCAAAGTCTAACAACAAAACATAAGGCTTACATGAACCTTGTTTATCAGTGAGGATCTTTGAAAGGTTCCATTAGATGTACTGACAGCACACAGACTACAATCAATTATTGATGGATCTTCTAGACCTGAACAGACGTCTTGGTAATGACACGCATGGAACAAAATTCAACCATTTTAGAAAGGCCAGTACTGCCCTGGAGATCAAGAGAATTCTGGCATTCCTGAGTCAGTTGTGCTTCAGTCCCCCCTTTAAACTAAGGCAAATTTGAGTTAAGTACTGTATTTACTGTGTAACACCTCTAAATTTGAGCATAATTGGCTTCCCAGGCCACAGCAGTCTTTAATTAAACTCACTTAAAAACGGAGGCAAAAACTTTCTGCATCTGATGAAAGCATAGGAACTGAAAAGGAACACTTGTTTTTTGCAAGGACAGTGGCCATTATATTATTATTTCATTAACTGCTGGAATGTAGAATGTGCCAAAGTTACCAAGCTGTAACTATACAGAGTTGCAGATTAGTGATTAAACATTAGCATATGCAGTAAAAAATCTACTTGAAACAGGTAGACTTGGATCTATAGCCAAATGAAATGGTAAAATATGCTACTGATTGCAAGTGGCATAAATTTTAATGCTTCCCTTCACAAACAATATGTAGTAAACCAGCATATATCAGCAAGATTTTTTTTGCTAAATTTTCCTCTGATGTGCTACTTTATCACATGGAAAAAAACATTAAAAATACAAATCCCCCCACTGAAACCTAGTGAGAAAATTCAGAATTCTACATAATGTGCACATCAGGTCTGAATCCACAAATAATTTAAGGACACAATAAACTTAAGGCTGTAATCTGAAGCACATTTACTAGGGATATCATCCCACTGAAATTTCTATATTCTCTCTGAGTGAAAACACACTCATGATTCCATTGCATGTGTGATACAGACTTGTGCTTTTGAGGTTTGGAAAAACTGTTCATCAGTAGGTAACAAGCAGCAAGGCTCTACTACCAGCAAGGTGAGAAACATCTATGTAACAAGCATAGTGCCCATAACTCTTTGCTTTCTAAAGAAAGGGCTTAATTCAAATCCATGGCTTTTTTCAATATTTTTCTTCCATGCTGCCTAGCAAGACTGGTTCTACAAAGATCACTCCTGCTTACCAAGAGTGTCAAGATCCATAGATGATCATTAAAGTGGCACTGTGTGGCAGCTGGTAACAAAAGGGCAACAGTTCATATCTTTTTTGTATCAACTACACTACCGATTAAAATAGCCTGCACCAATTGCAACTGATGCTAGTTAAAATTCAGCTCAGACAGCTTCCCATTTTGCTGTTTACCTGCAACTAAAAAAAGAAAGTTGCGAAGCCCCTAGTGGGCTACAGCAGGTATCCCCAAACTTTTTTACCCTGCAGACCGGCTGGGGAAGGTGGGGCACCCCCCTCACTCGTGCACATGCGGGAATGAATGTGCGTGCTCTCTTGCGCAAATGAGCGTGTGCACACATGTGCAAATGGTGCTGCTGCGCTTGTGCAGGTGCACATGCGCTCATGCACATACAGCAGCGCAGTGCTCGCACAGATGCACTAGAGCACACGCGCATGCACAAATCAGCTGTGTGGGGGTGAATGCATGCGGGGGTGGCCCGGTCTGGCACCAGGAGTTGGGGACCTCTTGGCTACAGTATACAACTGGAGGACTATGTTTGGTCAGCCACAACTGGTGCAGCCATACCCTAAGCATATTAAATGGCAGTGCATTCCACTGAAAGCAGTAAGATTACAACATATTGCATGAAACACACTCATTTCTCTGTATGTGTAATATTTTTACTTGAATCAAATGAAAATCAGCAGGGTACACCAGAGTTCCTAGCTCACTACCGATGTTGTTCAGTAGTGAGATAGCAGATTTGTGCCAAAGCTTTTCAAGGCTCTATGATCAGGAGTCAGCCTGCCTTAAAAACTGAAAACCGGAATGGGCTGTACTCAAGCAGGGCAACAGCTTGTTAATGCCCTCTCCTCTAGCATCCTGCTGCCAATCTAGCAGTAATCAAGAACAAACAGGCTCACTAGTAATATTCAGGAAGAGTAATTCTGCACTTTTGAAGTTCATAGTCCAAGATTTAATATGAGAAACATGCAACGTAATCTTAAAGAGGTTTAGTCATCAGCAAGGCACCAGAAAATATAGTGGAATTTAATCCCAAGTAAATGTGCAGAGGAGAACAGAACACCATCAGCCAGCACTATGTTCCAAACAACAAACAAGTCTTTCCCCATCACATATAGCTTGTATAGCAGAAGTGGAGTTCAGTATTGCCAGGATCCCATGTTTTACCCTTAACATACTAGTCAACAGGTAAGTATTCCACCTCGTCACTTTTTTTAAAAATACTGTTTCCAAGGTGTAGGTCAAAAAGAGTCAGGACTTCCATGATTTGATTCTTTAAAACCCAGTTGTCTGAGATGTCAGTGTTTGCAACAGGAATCCTGGGGAAGGGGTGATTTTTAGGAAGAAGGTAAAAAGTCTGGACTGGATAACCATGGGTACTCTGTCCACACTGAGGGTGTTGCAGAGCAGACTGACCAGTTTCAAGAAGCATCCCTGGATATCCAACCACTTTCTGTTAAGAAATTCAAAATCCTTTTCTTTAGTACTTTATCCAAGTAACTAGGAAGACGGCTTTTTGATGGAATGCCCTGCCTTTTCTGAAGATGATCTTTAATTATAATAGTTTTAACTGTCACGTAACGTGCTGGGCTCAGATTAATAGAGCTACAAAGTACTTTCTCTCGGTCAGACAGCAGTTCAAAGCCAGGTAGATTTTCAATTGTAGCAAATTCTCCATCTTTACCATCTTCCTTTCCTCTCTTAGAGGTACTGATATTTTTATTTTCTTTCCTTTTCTCCCTTTTGTGTCTAGCTGCTTCATATTCTGCAGATTCTTCCATTTTTGTTATACCATTCCGTCGATATCGCTGTAGTTCCCTAATCTTGGTTCGAAGTACCTTCTCTTTGTGCAGGTTTTCAAAGAAATCATCAAACTCTTTGCAAGACATAAACTGGTAAAGAGATCTCAACTTCAGCCGCAGTTCTTTTTCCTCTTTTGTGATTTTACGTTTCAGAGGTTTTTCCTTGTCTTTTCTATCCTTCCCTAGAAAGGCAGGAACTAAGTTGTAGTCACGGGCAATGTTCTTTCGACGCTGCCTTTCCTTCAGTTTTCTTACATACATGTCCACATGGGCTCTTTTTAATTCTATCTCCACATCATCATCGTCATAATTAACTGAAAGGCCACTAATCAAAGTCTCAGCATTCTGGTCATACTCAATCTCATAATCATCGCGAAGTGGCATATATCCCAGCTGTTGTTGTTCAGCTACTGATATGTCTAATGGTGGCAGAGGCATGGTTAGGCTAGGAGAAAGCGGACCACCACTTGGGCATGTGTGATCAGTTACTCTATTTGGAATAACATCAGGAATGCAGGCTTTCCCAAGGTTGCCATGTATGTACATGCTTACATAGTGCTCCATCACTTCCTGAGGGGTTCGTGATGCACCAACATGAGCAGCCATGTCTTCCTAAAATAAAATGAAATAAAGTAGAAATATTAATACATAAACCATCAAGACATCTACTTACCAGAGTGGAGGCGGAGGCTGTGGATTTCCAAAAGCTGTCACAATGAAGCTCATATCAGCGCTCAAGACAGTGCCCAGCAACATCTGGAGGATTAAGGTCATCTACCCTGATTTAATTGAACCATTCAAATATATACTACACAGACACATGGATGCTGTCGTTTCTTCACCACCATAATTTGTTTATCGGAGCATTGCTTTTTTACAGGTTTATCCATAAAGCAACTCGCAGTATTAAATAAATGTATATAAAAATTCAAAAATAATTATAAGTACAATCAGACAACTACTGTATGATTTAGGGGAATCCATTAAAAAGATTAATCTATGAAACACTGAAAAATATAAACAGAAAAAAAATTATTTATACAAAGAAAACAGTCAAATAAAACCTAACACAAAAGCAAGCATTTGCTACCTAAAAGATCAAAGAACTCTCCATTCCACAAGGCAACATGGGCTTTTCCAGAAATATCCTACAAATCCTATTTATCAACCAACTCCTCTATTGAGACAACATTCCTTCTAGTTCTAGCTCTCCTCTTTCAGTCAATTCCTCATGTCTTGGAGAGGCAAAGAAAGTTCTCCTCCAAAGCTCCCCATGTATTCTCGGTTGGCAGTACCCTCCGCTGAGCAGCTGCCCACAACTGTCATTATATACTGAACATTATAGAACATTACCCCTTCATGGATTGCTGCCTTGCCGTGGCAAAGGGGCTAGAGTAATTCAGAGTAGCTATGGGCTATGCCGCGCAGGGACACCCAAGACGGACAGGTCATAGTGGAGAGTTCTGACTAAACGCAATCCACCTAGAGCAGGAATTGGCAGTGCCACTCCAGTATCTTTGCCAAGAAAACCCCATGAACAGAAACAAAAGGCTAAAAGATATGATGCCAGACGATGGGCCGCTCTGGTCGGAAGGCGTCCAACATGCTACTGAGGAAGAGCGGAGGAAAAGTACAAGTAGCTCCAGAGGTAATAAAGTGGTTGGGCCAAAACCGAAAGGACACTTAGCTGTGGACATGCCTGGAAGTGAAAGGAAAGTCCGATGCTGCAAAGAAAAATACTGCATAGGAACCTGGAATGTAAGATCTATGAACCTTGGGAAGCTGGATGTGGTCAAACAGGAGATGGCAAGAATAAACATTGACATCCTGAGTGTCAGCGAACTAAAAGGGACTGGAATGCTAAAATAGGGAGTCAAGAGATAAAAGGAACAACAGGTAAGTTTGGCCTCAGGAGTTCAAAATGAAGCAGGGCAAAGGCTAATAGAGTTTTGTCAAGAGAACAAGCTGGTCATCACAAACACACTTTTCCAACAATACAAGAGGCAACTCTACACATGGACATCACCAGATGGGCAATACCGAAATCAGATTGATTATATTCTCTGCAGCCAAA